CCTCTCCCCTCTCTCCTCTCCTCTCTCCTTTCTCCTCTTTCTCTCTCCTCTCTCTCAGACCCCTATGTGAAGGTGTGGCTGATGCACAAGGACAAGCGCGTGGAGAAGAAGAAGACAGTGGTGATGAAGCGCTGTCTCAATCCCATCTTCAACGAGTCCTTCCCCTTCGACGTGCCGACCGAGCGCCTGCGGGAGACCACCATCATCATCACCGTCATGGACAAGGACCGCCTCAGCCGCAACGACGTCATCGGCAAGGTGACCCGCTGACCGACTGACGCTGACCGCCTGACACACTCACTGACCGACAGGCTGACCGACCGACATGCTGACCGCCTGACACACTGACTGACACGGTGATGACTGACACACTGGCCGGCTGACATACTGACACACTGACTGACACACTGACTGACACACTGACTGACACACTGGCCGACTGACACACTGACACACTGACTGACACGCTGACGACTGACACACTTACCGACTGACACACTGACCGACTGACACACTGACTGACACACTGACCGCCTGACACACTGACTGACACGGTGATGACTGACACACGGGCCGGCTGACATACTGACACACTGACTGACACGCTGACGACTGACACACTTACCAACTGACACACTGACCAACTGACACACTGACTGACACACTGACTGACACGGTGACGACTGACACACTGACACACTGACACACTGACACACTGACTGACAGACTGCCCGACTGACCCGGCCTGTCCTGCTGCCTCCCGCTCTCTCCCTGCAGATCTACCTGTCCTGGAAGAGTGGCCCGGCTGAGGTCAAGCACTGGAAGGACATGATCGCTCGCCCGCGGCAGGCTGTGGCCCAGTGGCACCAGCTCAAGGCCTGAGCCGGCTGCCCCAGCGGTCCTCCCCCAGCCCCTCCACTCCTTATGCACAAGACTGACTCGCTGCCAGGCTGCGAGACACGGGTACAAGTAGCCATTGACGAGACTCTATCTCCGTCCCACTGTCTCTCTCCTCTCTCTCTGTCCCACTGTCTCTCTGCTTTCTCTGCCTGCTGCTCTGCCAATCTGTCTGTCTCGACCTGTCTCTCCTGTCCCCCGCCCTGTCTGTCACTCTGACCCCTGTCTGTCTCTCTCCTCTCTCTCCTGCCCTGTGTCTCTCTCCTCTCTCTCCTGCCCTGTGTGTCTCTCTCCTCTCTCTCCTCCCCTGTCTGTCTCTCTCTTCTCTCTCTTGTGCTGTCTGTCTCTCTCTTCTCTCTCCCGTGCTGTCTGTCTCTCTACTCTCTCTCTCCCCCCTGTGTGTCTCTCTCCTCTCTCCTGCCCTGTGTGTCTATCTCCTTTCTCTCCTGCCCTGTCTGTCTCTCTCTTCTCCTCCTGCGCCGTCTGTCTCTCTCCTCTCTCTCCTCCCTTTGTGTCTGTCTCCTCTCTCTCCTCCCTGTGTGTCTCTCTCCTCTCTCTCCTGCCTGTCTGTCTCTCTCCTCTCTCTCCTCCCTGTGTGTCTGTCTCCTCTCTCTCCTCCCTGTGTGTCTGTCTCCTCTCTCTCCTCCCTGTGTTTCTCTCTCCTCTCTCTCCTGCCTGTCTGTCTCTCTCCTCTCTACTCCCTGTGTGTCTCTCTCCTCTCTCTCCTGCTCCTCTCTCTTGGAAGGGGGACATCCTGGTGTCAGTCTGCTGCTCTGTCAGTGTCCACGCCATTTCTCCCTCTCTTTCCCAAACCCAACCAAACTGGACCAGACCGGACCGAAACCTCTGTCTGTGTGCACACTGTCACACAGCCCCAGGACACAGCCCCAGGAGACTGACCCAGGACACTGACCCAGGACTTAGCCCCAGGACACTGACCCAGGACACTGACCCAGGACACAGCCCCAGGACGCTGACCCAGGACACAGCCCCAGGACGCTGACCCAGGACACAGCCCCAGGACGCTGACCCAGGACACAGCCCCAGGACACAGCCCCAGGACACAGCCCCAGGACGCTGACCCAGGACGCTGACCCAGGACACAGCCCCAGGAGACTGACCCAGGACGCTGACCCAGGACATAGCCCCAGGACGCTGGCCCATGACAAAGCCCCAGGAGACTGACCCAGGACACTGACCCAGGATGTAGCCCCAGGACGCCGGCCCAGGACGCCGACCCAGGACGCCGACCCATGACACAGCCCCAGGACGCTGGCCCATGACACAGCCCCATGACACAGCCCCATGACACAGCCCCTGGACGCTGACCCAGGACGCTGGCCCAGGACGCTGGCCCATGACACAGCCCCAGGACGCTGGCCCTGGACGCTGGCCCAGGACGCTGGCCCAGGACGCAGCCCCAGGACGCAGCCCCAGGACGCTGGCCCAGGACGCTGGCCCAGGACACAGCCCCAGGACGCCGGCCCTGGACGCCGGCCCAGGACACAGCCCCAGGACACAGCCCCAGGACACAGCCCCAGGACACAGCCCCAGGACGCTGACCGGAGCAGAGAGAGGAGGAGGAGGGATGGGCTGCTCTGTGGTTCCCTCTTTCCTTGTACAGAAGAACTGAAGACATCAATCCAAGAGCTCTTCCAAACTTTTTTTTAAAACGAGAAGCAAAAAGCCAGAATTCCTCGTTGGACGCCGGCGCCCG